AGAGGGAGGGAGGAAAGGGGAGGGGAGGGAGGAAAGGGGAGGTGAGAGCAGGAGAAAGGGGAGGGGAAGGAGAGAAGGGGAGAGGAGAGGGGCAGAGGGGAGGGCAGGGAGGGGAGGGCAAGAAAGGAGGGGAGGGCAGGGAGGGGAGAACAGGAAGGGAAGGGGAGGGGAGGGGAGGAGAGGGAACTTGAAAGGGCACATTTAAGCAATGCCAGCCTCGCAAGTGTTCATTTACTTTTCTTACATTTTGTTTAGTCACTCATTTTCAGTTGTCTAAATTCTTCATGAGGACATAAGCAGCGACAGGTGAGGTCAAGGTGTCAAGAGAGAGAAACCTGGGGCTGGGGAGATAGCTCAGTGGCTTAAGTGCCTGCAGGGTAAGCACACAGTTCTGAGATCATTACCGGAACACACACACACAAAGAAAGATAGTGGACAAGGCCACAATTCAGTACTGAACACTTCTGTTAAACAACTGTGTCACTGCATCAAACTACTTGCTATTTATATGAAAATAAATCACAGGCAGAATTAAGTAAATCTGAGCTGCTGGCTTCTGCACTCCGAATGCAACAAGGACGCCTGGGCCCTGGTTCCCAGGGGGCACTCCCTTCCAGCCAAGAGTCTTCCAACCACCGCCACTGCAGGGACTTGACACTGGCAAGCGGAGAAGCTCCTTGAGAGTGAAGGACATCGACTTCCACGGCCCAGCTACCAGCAGAGGACTCTGACACTTAGGAGTCCGATAAAATTCGAGGAGAGACTGGGTGGGGCATGGTTACTCATCCAGGTCAAATGCTAGTGCAGAATCTTTTTGCACAGGTATTTTTTTTTAAATTTATTTTAAAGAGATTCTAAAAATAATAGTAAGACTTTGGAAAGATATACCTTTTAAAACAGAAAAAACAAGCTGAAAAGTATTCAGCAGTGGTTGCTATATGGCACGTCACTGTTTTCAATGTGGTGCTCAGATTACAGATATCAGTATATAAAATTGGTCAAAGTAATTCCTTTAAGCATTAACCGCTACCTTCAAAACACTGATAGAAATTACTCGGAAACTCATCTTAGCTGTCCTGTAGAGTAAATACTTACATGATTTTCCCCTTCCTTTTTTTCCTATCTTTTCCCTCATCTCACTTGTTTATTCCTTTTTTTTTTAATTTATGTATTTGGTTCAGGGTCTCACTATGCACCTTGGACCCATAGCGATCCTCTTGCTTTCAGCCTCCCCAGCACTGGGACTACAGGTGTGCACCACCACACCCAGACTCAGCCGACTCAGCCTGCCCGGGGCTGGGGCCAGCACGGCATGCTGTGCTGGGGAACTTGTTTATTCCTTATGCTCAGTTTGTGGGTTTTTGTTTTTTTCCATTTACTATACCTATTGCACCTTTCAGATTTATTTATTCTTTGAAGTTCTTATACTAGAGAGATAATATGATGTTTACATGAGTGGGTGTGATTTATTTCACTTATGAGTACAGCCTCTAGCTGCATCCGTTTACTTATAAAAGCCTCAAGTTTCTCTTTACAGCTGAGAAATGCTCCCTTGTATAAAAATACATCTTTTTTATCCATTTCTCAGCTGATGGGCATTTGGGTTGTTTCCGAGATTTGGCTGTGACAAACTGCTGTTAGCAACATGGGTGCACATATAGCACTGGGGTGTGATTTGTTTCAGTTCTTCTGGAAAAATACCCAGAAAGGGAATAGCTAGGTTGAACGGGACCTCCAAGCTTAGTTTTCTGGGGAGTCTCCACCCTGATTTTCACAGTGGCTACACCAGTCTACACTCGCACAAGCAGTGGAGAAGGCTTCCTTTTCACCACAGCCCTGCCAACATTTGTTTTTGGTAATGTCTTTAGATAGCCATTCTTTCTGCAGGGAGATGTATACTCAGTTGCCAAAGAAAATACTATGTAACCCATAATCAATCAGGGTTGTATCATAAAAGATACATTCATTCTGAACAAAAGAGAATTATAAAATCTGAGAGCAAACAATAAACTGATAAAATTGTAAATTAACAATCTACTAACCAACAAATGAAGGCAAGAAGATAGGTTACTGTGAGTGACAACTATGGCTACAGATGAAAACTTACAGAATTCATGCAAAAAAAAAAGATAACAGAAGCAAAAACATTTCAGAGACGAGTAATAGGATACTGAAATTAGCTAATAAAAAGTTATAAATCTGGGATACTTTATCATTTTCCAAGCTCAATCTTGGATTTTATTATACAGGAGCTAGCAAGACAGTGAGCTCACTATTACTGCTCCAAATGTACTGCTTTCAGTCCACATGAGGAGACCGAGGGGCAGACTGCTGCTTCCTGTGGTCATGTTGGTGAAAACGTCCCAGACATGATTTCTCCACAATGTAAGTAAACCTGAATGTGTTTTGGAGAGGAGCGATCCATTTGACTTTGTTTATGAGGCCAAGAGATTGTCAGCAATACCTGAGTGGAGGTGGAAAGATTCATTCGTCTCCTGTGGGAACACACAGTTTTTTCTTGTTTGCTAGAAGCAGCGCCTCCAGTCTGTCCCAGGGAAACCACGCCGAGCTGCTTCATCCACACCCACCACGGCAACTGCTTAACTACTCACTCCACCCCACACGCTCTATGCTCTCTTCATTCGTGGTTAAGTGCAACTTGTTAAAAAAAAAAACTCATAGAAATTCAACTTTTTGATCAGCAGATTTTTACTATACAATCTTAGCAAATTGCAACAGAATTTGTCTTTGAATATCACAGTCTTTAATGTCAACGAAAATAATAACTTAGAGATTAAAATTTTTTTAACCTAAGAGGAAAGTATTATAAACATAAATTTTGAACAAAAAAACTGCGGTGCAGGTAGCTGTGCTGTCTCAGTGCTTTAATACTTCATCTCTAGAACTAAACACAGCACCACTCGTCAGCTTGAGTCCAGTGAATAAGAACTTAGAATTATATATACTAATCAGAGTTGAAGTCTGAAACCAAAATGATCTTTCAACAGTATCATCACAGAGACAAGCCCACCCTAAAAAGTCAATCACAATGTGAAATTTTGACAAAAAGCAGCTCTCTGTTACTGCTCGCTAGAGTTGGTCTCTTCGTTGGGCTTCAATTTCCTACGGCAACCAAGGGTCCGATTACATATAAGCCCAAGTATACAGTGCTTGATGGAATCAAGTACGGGACGAAGCACTTTTAACACCTTGGTTATGACTCCAGCTGCAACACACATTCTACTGAATAATTTACAATGGCTTACAAACTTTTAGCAACAAAATTATACTTTAAAAACCCTCCGCCATTCCTATATGTTACATTAACTGGAGACATCACAATCATTTAAGTTTCTTATTTAGAGAAATATAAGCTTTCCCCGAAAAGCATGAAATAGTGTTATTTCCATCAGCTGTCCTGAATTTTATAATCAACTTTGACTATATTTTGTCACTTCTTTAATCCAGAGTAAGAAGAATGACACGGATTTCTGAAAAGTAAGCTGGAGAACACGAATCCAGTTAGAAATAGAATGGACTACTAACTAACCACTGCGTTTGAATATTGTTTTTAGCTGTAAAATGTCCATTATGTAGGGCAAACAGGGAGTAGATACAAACTGCTAAACTCGTCAAAACTTTTGACCTATAGGACTTTGATCTCTTCCAAAACAACAATAGCATACAAAGTGAACAATAAAGAATTTAGTCTCTATAAATGAAAAATATATCTATATATATAATATTTCTATAGGTTTAAATGATTTGCTTTTAAATATTCAAGTGTAATCCTATTGTAAAAGATTAAAACATACATTTCAACTATATCAGATGTGTGGATTTCATTTGTTCCTAACTGTTACTAAGTAAGTTCACTGGGCTGCCAAGCAGCTCGGCTGGTTGGGGAGAGGCCGTGCCGCCAGCTGGCGTGAGGAGCACACAGCACAGCCTGCACCTATACCGGTAAGACCCACTTCACATCCCGGACACACAAAAGGCTGCTTTCTCTAATTACACTGCTCGATACTAAAGCAGCATTGTCCATGAAGTGTCTTTCAAATCTAACCTTTCACCTCTACAAATAACAATTCAACTTTAAAAAAATACAGACCAAATCCAGGTACCCGTGATCCTTTGTAAATCCTAACATGTAGAAACATTCTTAGTTTTAACCAGGAATTACATTGGAATGAAACAAAGGTATCTTTTAAACTAATTTTAAACATACTCTACATAGATCACTCAACATTGTTTATGGACATAATTTAATCAATAATACATCATAATGTCAACCACTATTGTGATTCAGAATTAGATTCTGGCTATATAAGAAGCTTAATTATTAAGCAACACCTTCCTAAAAAGCTTCTGTATTTGATTGGTAATAAAACAACAAAAATCTCTCAATGAAGTAACACTGAAGTCTGAGCTCGGGCCCCCTTCTTTGTGTTAAACATAACCCTTCAGCACAATGATGACGGGACATAGAGTCATTAATAAATTATAGCTGTCTTCAAGAGAACTCTATGGGCAACTCTGGTGTTTCAACTGTGTATCTTGGATCCAATCTGGGGGTGAAATCCTGAAAATTTTTAGATGCACCAGTGCCAAAAACATCAAGGGCTTTTCGATTCATTACAGCAAATCTGCAAAAGAGAGGACACAATAAAGAAGCATTTAGCAAACTTTATAAAATAAAGGAGCTCATTTTGACTTAGTTTTCTCGAAATGGAGCAGCAGAAAGAGCTGACACGGCCGACGACCTAAGCACTGGCAGCTTCCGTTCACACATCCTGTCTAGGATGCGCCTGAAGCCATAGATTAGAGCCATTACTGCAAATACCTTTAGAGTTCTTTTCACTACACTGTGTTAAATAGAAAATTAGGTTCCTTACTATTTTTCTGGTAAATTAAATCATAGGAAACTAAACAATGAAAAAGGTAACATTTACATGGAGCGAAGGTATTAGATATAATTTTCAAAAAATAAAAATAAATAAATACAATTTCTCTCATAATTGAGATAGTGGTTTCTCAAAATCATAACAAAATATATCTAAATATACAGGTGTCTCATGATTAAAAAAGCAAACAGCATACATATTCTTAAATTTCTAGTAGAAGCCAAAAAAACCCCTTCTAAACTTTTAGGGCTTGCTGGTTAGCTCAGCTGTTTAAGTGCCTGCTCCATCAAGCCCAGGCAGGTGTAGGGACCATGGTTCGTCCCGAGCCCCACATGCCTTACGAGACCCGCCCTTAAGGCAGCCTAGCCAGCCAAACCAAAAAAAAAAGCCTTAAATTTCTAGTAGATACAAGAGAATAAAAACAGCTTTAAGTTCCCCAGCATTAATTAAAAGCTACAAATGTTTACAGGGTGCACACTCAGCTAACGTGAAGGACGGAGCCTTGGTGCCTCCAGGCCTGCGCACAAGTGCCCCCTTCTGGAGGACAGCGTGAAATCCGTGTGGAATCACCGCCAGCACCAATATTGCCACTTTTAGTTCTTGCCAAAGTAAGTTCACTTGCAGAATAATCAACTTGTAAAACTCATTAATACAAAGAAAATTATATGACCCCCCCAAAAAAAGATGAAACAACAGCCGTTGGATCTGAAGCCAGACTGCCTAACTTCTAAGGGCCGGGGCTCTCTTCACGGACTGGCTGTGACTCTGGCAAGTCGCAGAGAACCAGCCTCTCTGTGAGCCTCAGTTTCCTTGTATGCAAAACAAAGATGGGAACAGTACCTATCTCAGGAAGCTAAGGGTTAAGCATAGAGGCAACAAATATGTACCTGAAAACCATATGTGGGACACGACAAGCATTATGTAAGCATCTGCTGTTGTTATTGTTGCTAACAGTATCGGTAGCCACTGATATTTGGTGTCTACAGAGCACTGAGCACCGCTAAGATACCCTAAACGTCCCACACCATACAGTGGGATGAGGTACGACTTGGATACGGTTTGTCCCCTCGAGCCCCGATCTCAGTGTAGCAGAATTACAGTGGGACTTTTAAGTGGTGAGGCTAGTGGAGGAAAATGGGCCATGCAGACTCTGTTCTCAAAAATACAGTAATGCTAGTTTTGCAGAGTATTTTGGCTTCTAGAAGACTGGCCTATTTCCCACAAGCACAGGCTTTTATAAAGCAAGACTGGGCTGGAGAGATAGCTCAGAGGTCTACGTGCCTGCCTAGCAAGCACCAGGACCCAAGTTTGATCCCCAGTACCACAGGCTGTGCCAGCCCCGGAAAGCCGGGTGTACTGTGTTGTCCACCAAAACCAGGCGTGGTGGCACAAGCCTGTAACCCCAGCACTGGGAGGCTGGGGCAGGAGGACCACTACAAGACTGGGCTGCATAGTGAGAACCCATACCAAGTAAGGAACTAACTAAATAAAAGAGTTTTAAAAATACTAAAGCAAGGCCACACCATGTCCCTGTCCCTGTATGTGATGCTTTTCTGCCACACTGTGATACAGCCAGATTGCCAATGTCGTGGTGTTTGGACCTCCAGCTACTAGGATCATGAGCCAAATCAGCCGCTTTTCTTCCTATGTTACCCGAGTCAGGTATTCCATCACACCAATGCAAATAGACTAAGACAATACAAACTATCATTTCACTACAGAGAGAAAGACACTTACTCAAAGTCAGTAAGTTTCCCACAGAAAAAAATGACTGACCATATCAGTGTTGCAGTCAAACTTAGGTCTGTCTGGCTGTAAACTCTATGTTTCTGTTAGGTTAAACTATCTCCCCCCATTAGATTAAGACTAAGAAAAAAGACAGGGAGGTGGGAGACAAGGAAGAGAAGAAGAGAGGAGAAAGAAGGAGGAGGAAAACAGGAAGAAAGAGGAGGTGGAAGGGAGGTGAAGGAAGAAGGAACATGGAGGGAGGAAGAAGCAGGGAGGGAGAAAGGGAAGAAGAGAAGACGCTAGGAAAGGCCAAGGAAAGGATACTTTACAGTATCAGGCACCAGAAGATGGCTACCTCCCAAAACAGAAATCAGCTAATTATGTAGAGAAGATAATAATAAATAATAAATAATAAATCTGTTTAGTATTTTTAATCAAGAAGATCCAAGATTCAAAAAGGTAGAATTCAGAATTATGGAGCAACTAATTAACAGTTAACAAATCAATGACATTACTCTAGAACACTTGAAATATCTAAATATTACAAAGAAAAAAGATTAATGTTGACTCAAAGTATGTCTCATGTATTTATCAAGTTGGTAATACTGGATTTATATATAAATAGCTACATTACCCCTGAACAGTCCCTCAAGAAGACCAAGTTTTATACTCTCTTTATAAAGTTGTTCATTGTCTACAAGCATTCAAAACATGTCACTTACCTTCCCTTGGTGAGTCTCAGAAGGAACTTCCAGTAAGACGGCCGCAAGTTCTGAACTTCCATTACAGCCTAAGATTATTCAATTTGAGATATCTTTCAGTAGATACAAATACTATCCACAAATCCTAGGCAACAAAATAATTTCTGTCTCTAGATTTATTGCTTGTTATATTTTTCAAATGATAGTAATGACAATACAACAAGGCCAGGCGTGGTGGTGCAAGCCTGTAATCCCAGCAGCAAGGAGGCTGAAACAGGAGGATCATTACGAGTCCAAGCTGCATAGTGAGACCCTGTACCTAATACATTTTAAAAAATAAATAAATAGTAATAATAAAAACATGTATTTGTACTTAAGTCATTAGCCAGCAACAATCTTTGAAAATATGCGTTAAATAACAAAGCCAACAGTCATTACTATCAGAAAGCACTTACTGGGTACCCACTAGACAGGTGACACTTCACTAATTTTCATTAGTTTATCAACCTGGCAGTCTTCCTGCGACAAAAGAGCAAATAGAAACTCTCCCCAACCGCAACAGCCCTTCAGCATTAACGCGAGCAATGGTCATGACAGGACACGAGATTCAACAATGAAGACTTCTATGAAACCAGACGTGCCCTGGCCCTCACCCTGAGCCACACTGGGAACATGCGCTCACGCCCAGCCGCGCCCAGGGCATCTTCGCTCGTGAGGAAGGGTAGCTAACTTAGGGCACTCTACTCCCTCCACTAGAGGAAGGGTTCAGCAGCGGACTGTGCTCTAAGTAAGACTAAAGGTTGGTCTGCTCATAAAGGAAGGTCTGGCCAACGTTAATAGGTGGAATAATTTGGAACATTTAAGGTCTCTTGCTGGGAAAACAACAACAAAATATAATAAACAGACATGTTTCTAGGTTGTCATTTTCCTTCACTGGATTAATAGAAATTAAAAACAAATTTCTATTTCTCCTTTCAAAAGCTGTACTTACTGCATGGAAACAAATTGCTGTAGAGATGGAGTAAATGATGGTATCTGCATGAGGAAAATAGGGAACCTTTCCTGCTTGAATGCCTTTGAAATATATAGTCTGCAAAACATAAAGCAAGAGTTACATATCTTACACACATATATCTATACATTATATTAATGTATATATTAACACACACACACACATATATATATAATATATATATAATATTAACAATACTGTCGAGTACTACGTTCCCTACCCACAACTATGTTTTCTACCTTTCTGAACCCTAATATTTCCCTCAGCTCATAACAGGTTATATTTTCCATAGCCATGTCGTGTCAGCCCATCCCACTCCTTTACTCCTTCACTCCAACCCCAGCTTCAAACAGCAATAGTCTCCTGGGAAATTCAACAGCAGTTTATTACTACTGCTTTGATGTCACTTATTCCCCTTTATTCATTCTTAATGTTTTTCCTAGGTGCTCAAGTCCTCCCTCTCTTGGTAGAGTTATTCATGCATGGAAAATTTAATAATATTAACTATATGCTAAACACAATTGACTAGATGCTGGACACAATGCTAGGGATAAGGAATTTAAAATGAGCAAACTATATGGGGCCGGTGAGATAGCTCAATGGACTAAAGTGCCTGCTTAGGCAAGTGCCGGGACAGAGGTTTGATCCCCTGCACCACATGCCACTCTGGCCCCAACTCCAGGGCAGACTGATCCAGCCACACACAGAGAAAAACAACTATAAAAGACCTCTTACAAACTAGATTTCAATATTGGTTTCCTCTGTGTCAAAGAATACATTTTACTGCCCAGGAGTTATTTTCTGCTTCTTAGTCCTCTTTTCTTTGTCATGAACAGGGTTGTCAACTCTACTCTTAAACAAACATGAACTCTGTAATCCGGTAGTAGTCAGTTTTCAATGCTGTGACAAAATGCCTGAAAAAAAAAATCAACTGAAACGAGGAAAAATGTATTTGGCTCATGGTTTCATGGTTGCTTAAGCTGCTGTCTCTGAGCCTGGGTGAGGCAGAATATGATGGTGGAAAGCACGTGAAGGAGCCTCCACTGGCAGGGTGGAAGGAACTAGAAGGAAGTGGGAGCGGCAGACTTGCAACAGCACCCCCAGGGCACACCCTAGTGACGTCACTTCCTCCTAGGCCACAGCTCGTGGCACCACAGGCTGACAGCCAAGCCTTCAGCACAGCCCTTTAGAGGTCGTTCAGTTCCACACCATAACTTCTCTCCATCTCTGCACCTGGGAAAAGCTACCATCTCCTGCTAGAGACTGCTTTCCCAGCTTCCAGAAGACACACCTCCCTCTGATACTACACTCTGTATCATAATCACAATCGCTCTTCTTAAAATGTGAACTAAATCGTGCCATTTCATGCTTTGAAATCCTCAGAGGCTTCACACTATATTCAGAATAAAACCAAACTAGTCACCTTATCTTTTAAAATCCTACAGGATCTGTTTTCTGCCATCTTCCTTATTTCATTATCTATATATTCTCTCCCCGCCAACACATAAGGCAAATATACACTGTAATTCACTTCATGTTATTAAGAATACAGATTTTCAGTGAAAGACACCTTTAAAAATCAAATAAATAATTATAATCTAAATATTTTTTATATATCTGGTCCAGGGTCTCACTACACAGCTCGGGCTTAGAGCGATTCTCCTGTTTTCAGCCTCCCCAGCATGAGTGTGCCACCACACCTAGTCAGCGCACCCAGGGCTGTGGCATGGGGAGCCGGGGATTGAACCCTGGTCCCTGTGCTTGCCTGAGCAGGTGCGCAGTCCCCTGAGCTATCTCACTGGCCCTTATATTCTAAACTTTGAACTGGAAGTGATCAATATGCTCCAAATTTGTTCTTCCCACACCTACCTGAGAAAAAATTTTACTGAGAAGGCCAAGAAACAATGAAGAGAATGAAGTTTCTACATAGCTTTTCCGCTAAAAGAAACTAGGAACCATTACAGAACAGGCTACTTCTACATTTGAACCAAATATTCGAAAAGCAAAAGCTCTTCTAGAAGCATTTTAACTAATGAATACAGAACAATCATAGTAGATTGTACCATTTTGCAATTCTTAATGAAATGAACCCCAATAATGATCATTAATGGCTGCTAAAACATCTGGGTGAAAGGCTATTGGGAAACCTTCAATTGGTTCTTTCAACATCTGGTTCAGAGATTAATCTTAGTAATACAGACACAACCAGATATTACTGAGGCTCCTAAAGCAATGAAATAGGACATGCACACACCAAGTAAATGGGAGCTATTTCCACCACCTTATCCCTCCAGAAATCACACTTGAATTTGCTTAAGCCTACAGAATCTAGAATCAGCGCTAACAGGAAACACATGAGTCAAAAGAACCTAATAAATAGCAGCAGCAGAACAACACCAAAACCTAGAATGTAGGGATTCCACAGGGTAGTGGGCTACACTTTCAACAAATAAATAGCAAGGAAAAAGGAGGAGAGAACAAAAGAGTAAGAGGTAATAACTACGGATTAAAGGAGATACTGTTTAGCCTTGATTCAATGAAACTGTAAAGGTATTTACAAGATAATCAGTGAAAATGGAATCATTTTATTCAATATAAGAAAACATGAAAGAATTATTAGGCTTCTCTAAAAGCTATCATATGGGGGCCAGGGAGATGGCTCAGTGGAATAAGCGCTTCCCTGGCAAGCACAAGGGCCTGAGTTCAATCCCCAGTTCTGAAAAAAAAAAAAAAATTGGAGGCTAGCAAGATAGCTTAGTGGTCTAAAGCGCCTGCTTAGGCAAGCTTAGGTAGGCTTAGAGGACCGCAGTCGATTCCCAGCACCACATAAGGCACCAGCCTCACCTCAGGGTGGGCTGAGCCAGCAAATAAATAAATAAATAAATAAATAAATAAATAAATAAATAAATGCATGCTATGATAACAAGTACTGTGCACATATTTTGGTGAAATGATTAATTTTTTTTTTTAAAGTCTTTATCCTGAAGTTTTTACAGATGAAGTGCTACCAGATCTAAGACTGACTCTGAAAATAATTCAGTACTGGGGTAATGACTGTAGATGAAAGGCGACTGGCCAGACGCTAACGAAGCTGCACAGCAGGCATGTGAGGGTTAACTCCACCACTCTGTCTACAGAGGTAGATATTTAAAAATAGCATAAACACATAAACAAGAGAATTGACTTTCTAAATACTTGTATAGAATGTGAATTTGCCTTTGCAAAGTGGATACATCTATTTGTCACTATAGGAATTAGCAACCAAAAAAGCTTTGTATTTTTTTGAGATTCTTCTAGAGATTTTCATTAATGCATATTTTATAGTACTTACAGTAATGATTACCTTCATTGTGGGGAGTTTATGGGGAAGGGGATAAAAAAGAAATTAAAAGGCTTTCTACCTTTTGGAACTGTTCAAGCATAAAAACGTTGGCTCACCTCCACCAATTTGGATGCTAAATACATGGAAATTGTTGTGCTTTTATAAAACATCATTGATATACCTGCCAAAAATCCTGAAACAAGTAAGGAAAAAGTCATCAGATTGCAATGTATTCATCCAAAAAGTCAAAACATCAATAATAATGTTAATTCACTTACACAGAAAAAAAAATCATTTCTAGCTCTGCCTCTTGTTACAACATAATCAAGTACAGTAAAACAATTGCTAACATTACAAAAGTGAGTCCTTATAAACACACATTTTTAAAATTAAAAAAAAAACAAATTTCAGGGTTAAAAACAAACAATTATAATATACACAAAATGATAAAATTTACACTTCAAGATTAAAAACAGTGGTCTTGCTAAACACAGTAACTTTTAAATAATTTTTAAAAGCTATTGGTATCACTTCTGGCTTTAAGTGGGACTATTTATGAAACACTAATAGTAGCATCACTAACAAATTATCTGATAAATGATCTATTAACTTAAGTGGTATATAAAATATACTCTGGAAAACAATTTTTAGTTGTAAAATTTATAAAATAATTTCAGTTCTTTACAAAATTCTTAAAATACATCATTTTCTACTGTTAAAGAAAATTTTTCAAGAAATCTACTGGAAATTCCATGAAGCACATATACAGCATTTAAGCCACTTGCTCTTCTGTGACACCTTCTCTGAGATCTCTGGCCACCAGCAGCACAGACCCTGTAGTCACTGTATGCCACACCACCAGAGGACAAGTGGCCCTGGAGATGATGAACTATGGGACAAACGCTCGGGCAAGTTTCTCCAGGGCAATTCTACGCAACAGAGAAGAGAAACTGGCAGAATCTCAAAGCATCTTCCGACTCGCTGCTCCCACTGACTGACCCAATAATAATCACGCTTTCCTATTGCTAGTAACACTATTGCTTTACCAGCTACAATAGCATGTAGTTCATCATCCAGATTTCGGATCCAGCGCAAGAAGCAGCTAGTACCCTGTGTTAAGGAGAAAATACAATGACTTCAGTGACATTTGTAAAACCTCTCATGAAAACAAAAGCAACTAGTATGATTCACTCACTAGATGGCCTTGGGGACAAACTAGTAACATTATATCAATCTAACTGAGAACATGATCGAGGAAATTTCATATTATACTTTTATTGTACTATTGTTTCAAAATAAACACATAAATTCTATGTTTGCCCAAATGTGGAAATTTGGGGAAAATGTCACTTCCATCTAAAAAGGGTGATAAAGCTAGATAAACTACAAGGCTGTCAAGCCAGAATGCTAATCCTAGAGAAATATATACGTGTATTTGTACTGGGAATCCAACTCAGGCCCTTGTGTTTGCCAGGCAGGCACTTGTGCAGCTGAGCAAGATCCCTGGCCCAGAACGCACATTCTTAATAGTGAAGGTGAACCAAAGACCTCTTCCAGATGAAGCTGGACAAAACTGTCACCAGCAGACCTGAGCTGCCCGAAAAGGCAGCTCTTCAGGCAGAGAGAACAGGGTAACTCACAAGAACTCAGATCTATAAAAAGACAGGAAGAACTCTGAACACAGGAAAATAAGGCAAATTCCAAACACACATTTCTCATCTTTAATTGTTCTAAAAGGGAATTCACTGCCTAAATCAAGATCCAACAAATTATATCCCAGTACCAAAATCTGGCCTGCCATCCAGTTTTGCATGGATTGGGAGCCACTACTGTTCTTTCTGTTTGCTTGTTTTGTGTTTTTGAGACCAAGTCTCACTGTGTCACCTAGACTGGCCTTGAACACCCAAGCTTAAGTGAGTGAAGAAATTTTAAAAAGTGAAACAATATACACTGAAAAAATGGAGATGGTGGAGAGTAACCAACCTGAGCCTAAAAATGTTGAAGAAAGTCCACAAGGAAACATATAAAGCTTTATGTTATGGATAAAGACAAACATTGCAATGAGAAAAAGAACATGAATGTAAACATATAATCACCAATAATTTGTTAACTCTTATATACTAAAAGAGATTAATAATGCTTTCTACTCAAAGTATATTTCTATATCAGAAATACCTTAACACAAGTGATAAATTATCTGTAGTTTCTCTATAGTTTGTTGCTCCTTTCCATATTTAATAATTTTTTCATACCTACCTTCTATGAGTAAAGTTTTACATAAATGATACATAACTATTTCACCTAAAATAACACAATTTGAATTCTTTTCAGCATTTTCTTTGAGTTTAATAAGAGTGAATACACATGTATATACATATATGTGCATGTGCATATATCTGCATACACTAGCTGCATTCTTACAAGGCGATGTCCACACTTTACCATTTAGAACCTGTATTTACGTTCTGAATCTCAGTTTTATGTAACAGGATATGTCAGTGGCATTAACATTTTAGGGACTTCCATTAAACACAAGGCTATTACTGCCAGCAATGAGTCAGGCATGATCTCTGTGTTTAAGTGTAGTCTTCCACCTAAAAGGGCAAGTTTAAAGAAATAAAAAGAAAGGGTGGAAGGAGTTAGCTGGTGATATGAAACAGTGTAGCATGGACAGTGAGTGGGAAAAAAAAGTGAAAAATTAGTCCCTGCTTATTTAAGTAACAACAGAAAATTTTATTCCATTATTATTATTATTTTTCGTGGCCAGCCCAGACAGCCGTGGGGTCGCACAGCATGTGGTGCTGGGGATAGAACTGAGGCCCCTGAGCTTGCCTTAAGCTTGCCTAAGCAGGTGCTTTAGACCGCTGAGCTATCTCATCAGCCCTCAATTAATTACTGACTTGAAGGGTCTGATGTAATAATAACCAGGTAGTAAATATGATTAACAGGGCTGGCCAGATAGCTCAGCGGGCTGAAGCGCCTGCTTAGGCAGAGTGCAGCAGCCGGGATTTGGTCCAGCATGCTGTGCTGGCCCCGCCCTCAGGGCACACTGAGATGGCCGTTGAGATTGGGTGTGGTGGCGCATGCCTGTAATCCCAGCACTTGGGAGGCTGAAAACAGGAGGATCGCTACGAATGTGATCTACATAGTGAAACCCTACAGACTCTGTACCAAATAAAATAAAATTTTTTAAAAAAGGGGTGTGTGGGGGGGGGGTAAAACAGCCCAGGTATACTACCATTTTTGACATTACAAATATCAGAAAATTCCTATTTTCTCAGTGCTTGTGTATTCAAAAAAAGTCTCAGAAGTTTTAATAATACTTGTAATAATAAATGTAAATATAATGTGCCTATATATTTAGTATAAATAACATTCTTTTTTTTGTTTTGTTTTGTTTGGGGGGGGGTGGGGGGTTTGGTGGTACCAGGGATTAAACTCAGGATCTTGTACTTGCTGCGCAAGCACTTATTCCACTGAGCTATCTCTCTGGCCCCTTAGTATAAATAACATTCTAAAAGAAGAAAATTCCCCAAACTAAATTCTCAGTGTACTGTGTATTTTAGTCATGTAGAGATACTGGAATATGCCAAAGGGAAGCGTTAAAGAAAACAATTGCTGAATTCAACCCGTATTTCTAGCCATGCTATTTATTTCTCGGTTTTCTTTTCTTACCTTGTAAATACTAACGAAAGAGCCCAGGAAAGCACCAAGCTGGAAGTTCTCTTTGTTGTAGAACAGGGAAAGCAGCCTGGATGGCTGTGTAAACAGATGCCGGAACGCAGAAGGGATTCGGAGGCAGCACTGAATCAAGTATCCCACGCTAAACATTCTGATAAAACCCTAGAGAAAAAGTGGAAGGGAATTTGGATTTACAACCAAATCTTGAAGTTTGATAGAGTATGAATTTTACCATCTCAGAAGCAAAGCAAAAAATATATAATACAAAAAATATTTACCACCACAATTTTCAAAATAAAACTTACAACTTCAAACAATATTTTTAAGGTTATTTTAAAACAATAACCTTAAAAATAAGGATAAAATCTTGGAGTAAACTTTCCTGGATTTACAAAGACTTATAAAGTCTCACAAGCAACAGCAGCATTTGCATATGCACCAAAATTCCACTCCTTGACATTCTGTTAACAATAACTAGGATATTTAAAATTACTAACCCTAAATGAATTCTAGGGGAAAAAAAAAACACTGAAATTAAAAAGAAAATTAACAAAATCAAATGCTTTTGAAAAATTTAACAGAAAACTATTCCTAATCATGAGTACAAGCTGGGACTCGTCTGGTAGAAAGATAATTTCACTATTTGTTTAGATCTTTGGTACTAACTTTTTTAATTATTAGAGAAATTTTCCAGGGAAAAGACTGTATCTGAATTTTTAGTCCTGTGTTCAACTGCTGCAGAATAAAACATCTCTAGGAAAGGGCTACTCTAATGTACACTAAGTGTTTAAGTGTTATTTTCTTTTCTTTTAAAAAACTAACAAAAACCTGACTTACAGTGGGGTAGTATTAGTCTATCTACAGGGACCTAGTATCAGATTAAAACACGAAAGTTAAATTGGCCAACTGGAGTAAATTAACAAGGGCTGGCCCAACTGTGCATGTGCTGGTATGGGCCGCAGTGGTGGCGCTCTGCTTCTGCCACTGATCCCTTGTCATGCTATTCTCACACATACAGTGACAGCGGGCCTGTTAGAGCTTTCAGTGATACACCGCCAGCCCGCGGTGCGCACGCCACGGCTCACCACCAGGGCTCAGGTGTTCAGCCATCACAAGCTTCTCCTGCTATTTCCAAATAAAATAAATGTTGAAAACTCATTCATATGACTTTTCATATATTCAGAATGCATTTGCTGAATGCCTGTTACATACATGCCAAGCATTAGACTACACACAGTAGTAAAGAAGATACAATTGTTGCCTTCCTGGAGCTTTGCATGTTCATTATAGAAAGAGAACATGAACAAGTAAATAAACATAGAAACATTACAGGTTATAATAAATGTCATGAAGAAATATTCATAGAACTAGAGTAATCTATGTTAGAAAAACAGGAAGACTAAAGAAGACATAGCATTTAAATAAATGCAAAAGAAAAGGAGCTCACATGAAAAAAAATTTGGACAGCCGGAAAGAAAGCGCACAGCCAGTGCAGAGGCTGCAGGTACAAGGAACCCGCTAAAGCACAAGCGCTGTGCCTTCAGGAGCATCTCCTCGCATGTGGGGCAGCTAAGTCCACAAAGCAATGTGGCACACCATCAGAAACCACTACTGCACTCGTGCTAAAATCCTGCCCACCGGCTTACGTAAGTTTCACATGCCTGGCTATAGTATCCCAATTTATACAGCAGTCAGCATGTTTATACTGCTCGTACGGATGAAAGAATCACGAGGTGGTGTTTCCATCACTTGGTAATTCTTGGTTATTTTCTCTCCTCTTTCTCTTTTGAGGCAAGATGTTAGACTGGCCTTGAATTCACTATGCAGCTCAGGCTGGCCTGGAACTTCAGTGATCCTTCTGCCTCAGCCTCCCAAGTGCTCGGATTACAGCCAGGTGCCACAAGCACAGACACACAAAAAAAGTTAATATCACCAACCCTACATTTTTCAAATACCTGACTTAATCAGAACACTTTTCTTAGTTTTTCTCCTCACTTCTCCCTTTAAACTACAATCATATTTAGCTGGAAGGAGTGTCTTTTCAGTAGCCAGCACATTCTGACACTGTCAACAATGTCTTTTTCCTCTCCCTCCCTCCCCACCCCGCCCCCTCCCTTCCTTTTTCATCCTCTTTTCCTTTTTTTTGCTTCCCAGTTTAAAAGTAAAACAAGAGAGCTTTGCATGCAGCTCAGTGGTAGAGCACTGGCTTGGCATGAGAAGCCACCCCAGGACAGAGAAATAAAAAAGGGCAGCAGGAGATCTAATCCGGAAAAAGTGAATCAGAAGGCACTGCACAACTGAGAAAGGACTCTTCTGCTTTGAACCCTTGTCCTGTCTTTGGGGATTCTGAAGATAAGTGTGGGTGTGGACAGCTGGCACGGCCACCCGGGCTCCTCTCGTCCCTGAGCACTGAAGCGGGGCACTCCCTCCTCCCTAAGTGGCCACAAAGAGGCTGTGTGGGGTGACACACAACTCAGTTCTCATCACCACCGAATGGGGATTAGACACTGCAAAGAAACAACTTTAAAAAGCATCAGAAGTTGTTAGAGGGCATCCAAAACTAAGGCGCCTACAGCAGGTGTTCCTTCCCACCTGGGGCAGGGTAACTGCAGCAAGGTGACTTTCTTCCCACAGCTGGCAGTGACTCGAGAGGTTGAGAGAGGAGGGTGGAGGCAGGGAAGTGTGGGCCTTTTAGGAAGGAGGGGATTTATACCACTAACTTTCGTAATATGACGCAACCGTGAACATGCTCGAGCTGGCTTGCTGTCCTTAAGAAAACCTTGTAGATTTACAACTCCAAAGCCCAAGACCAGCGTGCCAGCCGGTACAGGGAATGCAGCACGCTTCAGTGTCCACACGCCGACCCCAGCGGCGTGTCACACAGTACAAGAGCACCTTCCAGGATGGACTCACAACGGGAGCACGAGTATGAATCTTAGTGACTTTCTCCTTTGTTCTTACTTCATCATCTCTTACCTCATAAGTTTTAAATGAATTTTACTTTTGTTTTTGCAGTGCTGAAGATCAAACCAAGGACATCCACATGACTGGAAAATACCAGCTAAATTAAAATTCTTTAAGGATCTGATAAGTGGTAAAAGGTAAGTTATCATTTTTTTCCCCAAAGTTGGCACTATGGCTTTATTTGGGTGCTTAAAAGGTAAACTGTTACCTGTTCTCTCAGATTTCTTAATTTTCAAGCCAAATGCAATGGGTGACAAATATTAATGTTGAATTTTCCATTTACTTGACAATTACTTCTTAATAAGTACTACCGCTGCTGTAACAACTTCCTATTGTGAAGAAAACATACTTTCCATGCACTTACTTTAATGCAATAGGAAATGCAATTATCTTCGTAGTGTTTGCAACACCTATGCCTTGGGCCATGCTTGCACCTGAAATTAGACCAAAACATCGAATTGAAATACATGAATGTGCGTGTGAGCACCAGCGTGCACGCGAGCCTTTATAGAGCTGTTTAGAATGGACCCAAAAGAAGAGAAACCACCACTTCTTGCTAAATGCATGCCACTTTGTATCGTAGGACACTACTGAAGCAAGTAACAGATTTCTGTGGATTTTTTATTCCTTACCATGTGATACACTGTACAGACTCTGTAACTACAGTAAAAATACTTGAATGTGGAATATAAAAGCCACATTGTTAAATATTTGTGACTAACTATGAAAACTATGTGTATATTACCTATACATACTGCCAAATCTTTGGAAGCTTTAAATTGCTTATTGCACAGTATAATGGTCATAAATCATCCGTGAAGCCAATACTTGACTAAAAATCGTAAGGAGAATGTACTCAGGTTACAGAAATATATAATTAATTATATTTGAGAGAAAACATCTGGAAAAGAAACATAATACAGTTCTAAAACCCAAAATTCAGTTTTTAAATAAATATACAAATAAAAATCATATGAGACTTCAAAAAGTGGGTTATTTGTAATTTAACTGTAAACCACTTAACCTTCTAATGTTTAATACAAATACTTGTGCTGAAAGGACTACTGTTCAAGACATGTTCATTTGAATTGTTCGGTGCACTGGCTCTGCCCTTGGCAGGAGAAAGTAAGTGGGCGCTCTGCATCCAGCTCCCTCCTCTCACCCAAGGGGTCCTGTTCCAAAGTAAGCAGCCCTTACAACTTCTTTATGACTAATCAATTATTTGCATGGCTGAAACACATCATCTTTTTCCTGTTTATAACAAAAACTAACAGAGCAGTGCTCTGGCTCCGTACCGCTCTCATTTGCAAACTGATGAACAACATCTTTCCAGAAATCTAACCCTGGACAGCAGTTGTACTATACAGGCAGCTTTTCCTTGTCAAAGGTGACAGCAACCGTTCACAAGGATCTGAGTTGTGATACTATTACAGTGATATGGCGTGTCTGGCTATGGGAAGCTGTTGAGTGATTCAAGCTGGAGGCACAAGAAGAGAGGAATCAGAGAAAGGACTGCCTCATGCAAACCATCACTCCTCAGGCTTCTAAGTATCCTCTTCAAAAACATTTCAGTCTGGGCTGCCAGAACTATACATAAATTATTAAACTCTGATAGTAATTTACTGGTGTCATTTAATCCTTCCCTAGTCATCTATTAAAAAACGAGTTCTCCAGCCCTGAGTTTGCCTGTCACACTGCTTGGTTCCTGCATGCTTCTGCCGGTTTGCACTCCACGGGCCCTCGGAGACTGCCCTGACAAGTTCTGCCTGTACCACCTCTGACACCCAAGGCATCATTTACCTCAGAATACACACTCTTTTATGACCTGAGCTGACGTGAGCCCCATTTGGTGGATCCCCTTCTCATCTTTCTCCACTACGGTTACTGGTAATTCCTAAACTGCATTGTCCCTGTCTTCCATCACTCCTTTCTTCACTCCTGTGCTCTGAGTGCTGGACGTGGTAAAGTCTGGGAAACAACCTTTTAAATTGGGGCAACAGTGAAGTCCTCACTCTGCACTTCTACACGACTACTCGGCGACTTTCTGCGTCCTTCGGGGAGGCTTACAACCGCTGCTACTGGAGCTTATAAGCCTCACTTAACAGACAAGGGCTCGGGTGCCCGGGGGCAAGCTCCTCACAGGCACAGATCTGCCGAGGCCAAGCAGAGCCGGAGGCAGGTTCTCTGATTTCTCAGGGGGCTTTAACACCCTTCAGTGGTCCTGAACTTTTAATACTGCCTCCTTTCCTCTCCTCTCTAAAATAATCATTTCCACAATTAACTTTACTCATTGACATTCTAAATTTCAAGCCATTAAATTTATTAAATGTCTACACTGGAAATTAAAATGAATGTGTGAAACATAAAGATTTTTGTTTTGAATAACATAAAAGATTTATTTCAGTCTGAGAACCCTAAAAATTTTGTCTCTTAACAAAGCATCTTCATTTAAGGCTTATTCCTGTTGTCTCTATAGATTTCTGAATCTCTTTTAGGAGCTTTTCTTTCTCCTTTTCACCGCTGGCATGTTCAGTTAGCACATATTAACCTGTTTCCTGAAGTTCTTGCTTAGTTTGAAATAAAAGAATACTTCAGTTTTATGCAGATCTATTTAAAAGGCACAAGGTGGCTCACCACATACCCATTTGCCATCATTTGCCTTTTTTTCTGACACTTTATAGCTTCTGGTGAAAGAAAAAAGCAGCAGCACTGCTGCCAAAGAAGAAGCAAACACACCTTGACACGCACAAGTGTTGCACAGACAGGGACCAAGTGCGCTAGAACAGTAAGATGGAGAACTCACACTGCGTCCACAAATCTCCGGACTAGAGCAATGACATTCATTCCTCTCGGCTTTTCCTCATGCTCCTCTCTCCTCTGCTCCACTTTTGCATAAGCTGCCTCTGGCGAGTAAGAATGTGTGGGAATTTCTTCCTTCCCTACAATGAACCTAAAGAAAAGAAGAAAACTATAAGGTATTTTTTCATTGTTAAAAAATAGGAGCTGTGGACAAATGAAATATGAAAATTTAAGTGCTTAGAATAAAGAAAAAGTCATTATTAACAACAACTGCAACCCACCGTGTTTGCAAAAGCTTGGTAAAACATCCAACTTATTAAGTCACAATGGTGTGCAAAGGATCTGCTTGTCACTTGATATTGTCTATGAAACCTTGTCCCTGCTAGCCACAAAGAATAGGCTTCCTATTCATGGGTGTACACAGAGTTTAAGATCTGTACTGCTGCTTGGTTGTGGCTGTCGCTGCTGTGTGGGGAGTTTTGTTTTTGTCTTATACTACTGGGGACTGAATCCCAGGCCTCTGTGCAGGCTACAACTGTAGTCCTTTTTTAATTTATTTTTTTTTTTTAATTTCGAGACAGGATCTCAGTAAGCCACTGTCTTGGCCAAACTGAACTGAAAATTGTATGAGCCTCTCAGAGTGTTGAGATTACAGGTATTCACCTCCACACAGTAAGAGTAAAATTATCCAGAAAATAAGCAACACTCTCACATCCTCCATAGTCACACTGCTGCATCTGTGGCCAGGGCTGGCTATTTTAGATTAGCAGCCACTTTCTTGGAGAAGACGTTTCCATCTCAAGGAAAGAGGATCTAGTGACCTTCTCCACTCTCACAGCTAAAGAAACCCATTTCAGAGTCTGCAGCCGCCACTGAAGTCTGGGGCTGTGAACAGCATGGCACCCGACACAGAGTAAATATTTAACTAGTATTTGCTGAATGAATGAGTGGATGTAGCAGCACTTTCTGAGTACTTACTGCAAAACAGGCACAGTGCCAATTGAGCCTTTTACAAGTAGTAAATTACTTAATCTTCATAGAAACACTGTAGATTCCATGATTCCTATGAAATTTACCATGAATAGGCATTTTGCTCTCAGGCAATAGCCATTAATTATTTGAACATCTCACTGGAATGTCTGGCGCCTTAATCATGCGAACTGTGTACACATCCAATGGTGCCTTAACCTACAGTAAATCAGAACCAGCACACCTTCAGATACCACACTGGCTTCCCTCCCATGGCTCTGCTCTTGATGCTTTCTGTATATTCCCATGATTTGTATCAGGTCTGGCAGATAAAAGCCAGACCATTCTAGGTACAAGTTTCAGAGGCAGCGTCTTGAAATACAGATCTACATTTGCTACTTTTGTATTAAAAAAACTTCATTGGCTGGTCGTCTACTGTATTAACTATGAGCTTCAAGTTCAAAATCGTACCTGGGACACAGTGAGTACTAACCACGTGGGCTAAGCTTATACATTACAGCTAGCTGAACTAGGGGGAGATTCCAAAAGAAACTAGTACCTCAGTACTGCTCTCCTTCCCTGTATCACTCTTCCCTGCATCTGGGCTCGTATCTGACCTGCCTTATCCTAAATGCTTCCTCTCACCCTCTTCTACTCATCCTCCTCATAGAAAAAAAAGTACTTTGTGACGTGTATAGCACATAATTTCTATTCTTGCACAGCATTTGAGTTTTTCCATTCTGTAAATAATTCTATACAATTCTCCTTCCTTCCCTGTTTCTATTTCTCTCCACCACCTGGGGACAGACACTAAGCTACGTCTAACATGTTGTTGAAATACTGTGTATTTCTGTTTTGTAACACTCGGTATAATTATAATTGATAATGTCTTTCTTACTAAATCATAAGTGCAAAAGACAAAGAATGTATCTGACTCATCACCAATGTATTCTTACTGCACAAGTCCTGGGGTAAAAAGTAAAAGGACTTCAAACCACACTAAATGGAAGCTATGTTGGTGGCCTACATATTATCTTACAAATGTTAAGTGCTTAAAATATGAGCTGAACTGAGCTGAAGTTTACTATTCTAAAACTTTTCACCATAGTTCTAATTGGGAGACATTAAACTTGGTACTCGGGGACACTCATTCTTTATAATTAAAGGGTGATTTTCCTCAGATGGAGCAACGTGTTTCCATGATAGAGAAATTATGATCTGCACCCGGTGAGGACTTCCTCCTTGTGATGGCACTGATTTAAGTTTGGGGATGGTGAGTACATCAGACACTGTATCTTCTGTTTATCAAAGTTCAATATTGCCTGAAAGCAGAATTAAATTTATCTACAAGTATTTTTTATAACCTTTCCCTTTTGTAATTAATGTTAAATGTTGTAGTTTTTATATGGCATAAATTTAAAGCATATGTCTGCAATAAGAATCAGGACAGCCAAAAATGAAAACATGCAGAGTTACAAAGTCATACAAGGTAATACTTTTTGGAAGCCTATCAAAACAGCATACGATGAGCCACAATTACTTTCTGACAATAGTAAGTGTGCGTGGCTCTTGGTACTATTCTTCTGAGTATGAATTTACTGTCTTTGAGAATAATCAATTTTCAAGGCAGGAAATCTGAAATGAGATCACATCAGTTTAATGAAACAAGATATACAGTATGAAGAAATGGCATTTTATAATCCTAACAATGCTCTTTGACAACAAGAACATTAGCAAGAATAAACATTTTCCATAACATTTTTCTACAATAATGTATAGGGAAAAATTTTAAGGACAAACAGTCCAAACTAGACCCTTATTACAAGCAGATTTGAAGAAGACACACAAAATCATATCAGAAAAAAAACTATTAGTTGTGGCAGTTTCTTAAGTTTTCATTTCAGGAAAATTGACTTTTTAAAAAACAACTCTCAAGAGTTTTATCATCAATATAAGAACAACAACAATAAAGTTATTCTCTTTTCTCTTTTTTTGTATTTTAGGGAAGGATCTACAAGGGTCTACAGGGTGTTCAGGGTCCCACTACTAGATCGAACTTATCGTGATCTGCCTGTTTACAGCCTCCCAAGAGCTGAGATTACAGGCATGTGCCACCACGCCTAGTCTCAACTGCCATCTCAGCGCACCCTGGGGGTGGGGCCAGCACAGCAGGCCCGGGGATCAAACCCCTGGTCCCTGCACCTGAATAAAGTTATTTTCTATTGAATTGTGTATTTTTAGTGAGAACCAAGAGGTAAAATGATTGCTGTTGTGGATTATAACTTGGAAAGTTTTGTTATCATGAAGTTTCCACAAGCAAAAATATTTTTAATCACATAATGGATTGATTCCTTTTCCTGCCAAAACCAGTTTCCTCGTATGTCACCTGATTTTGTTAGTGGGACTTTCTTTTAAGTTCTCAGGTTTTCAGTATTTTTTAAAGATTGAGCAGTACGAGGGAAGAAAAAGACTGGATATAACAGACACTAGGTCGTCACTTCTTTTCAAGTCTCAAGTTTGTCTTCTCCTCTTTTAATCCTTCTGTCACCTTTATTAATCTGTCTTTACTTCTTCGTGTTCTCTTTTTTTCTACATTCAAATTCTGCGGCTAGACTAATCATTCTGGAAACTGTCTAGAACCTGCTCGAAATCCTTCAGTGGCTCCCTGCTGCTCACCTTGTCAAATCCAACTTTGTCTTCTCCACACACATCCGCTTTCTGCAATCTGACCCTACTTGACCTAACCTAAATACGTTCTATTCCTTAATGTAAAATTTTCTTACTAATAAAGTATATCTTCTGACTCCTGTGTCACATCTCGTGTTCACAATTTTCATCCCTTTGTAAATGGTGCTGACTCCCACCCAGAGTGCTTTTGTCTTTTATGTAGTTAACCAAAATTATTCTTCAAATGTAACTTAAAGTATATGATCTATAAGACTAATAACAACAATAATGGTTCACATTTTTACTTATAGTTTGCCAAGCTGCGTTCTAAATATTTTTATTAACTCATTTGAACCTCCAAATAATGTTATGAGACAATCACATAAAAATTCTTCAGGGCTGGCCAGATAGCTTGGCCGCCTAAAGCGCCTGCTTAGGCAGACTCAGGGGCCAAGGTCTGATTCCCCGCATGCCATGCCATGCCGGCCCCGCCTCTGGGGCGCACTGATGACTGAGACTGGGTGTGGTGGTGCGTGCCTGTAATCCCAGCGCTTGGGAGGCTGAAAACAAGAGGATCACTATAAGTCCAATCTATGTAGTGAGACCCTGTACTAAATACATTAAAAAAAATCTCCAAATCCTGAGACCTACCCTAATTTTTTCTCTAATACTTGCAGCAAATATCATATAAATAAGCTTCACTACGCATCTATTATATGTGCTAAGAAATGAACTATGAGGTTAAAAAAAAAAAAAAGACTCCAGTTATAATTAAGATCCAGTATGTGTTTGCCAGAATAGGTCCTACCCAAAATTGGGTACCACACAATTAGCTCCTTAATTTTTTGGTTAATTATTCATGCTCAGCTTTGTCTTCCAAGCTCCTATTAATATAAGACATTCTTGTGCCTATTTATTAGCAATTTACAACATAAAGTACACAATAGGCCCAAAAAGTAATAGCTGACTAAATTTTAAGGGAAAATAATTTCTTTCTTTTTTTTTTTTTTTGCAGTACTGGGGATTGAACTCAGGACCCTGCACTTGCCAGGCAAGCACTTATTCTACTAAGCTTTCTCCCCAGCCCAATAATCTAATAAATTATTCTTTCAATGAATTATTCATAAAGGCTTAGAATTACTATTACAACTTTAAAAATTATTATTAGCTTAAAAATTTAGTCAACAATATTTATTATAATCACAAATAGTTTTTAAAGTTGATTTATAAATTCTCACTCAATATAAAGTTACATAAAATGATTCTTACCTAAGTGCTGAAAAGGTAAATCCTTTCAAGCCATCTTTGCACCTGAAACAAAAATTCAGTCATAAAATAATGTGTTTTAAGATATACAATAGTTACTTTGTAGAGATCAACTTTTTCCTAAGAATAATATTCTAATAGGTGGAACTTGTACTGTAATGATCTAAGTATTCCAAGTGGCTCCATAAGCAGTAAGCAATGAGGCAGCTCTCCTTGCCCAAAACTACTACTACATGCTCTGCTATGCCGTACTGACACACTTAGTGCTCAGTTCTCAGCTCTTCTATGGCTCCCGCTGGACCTAAAACGTGGGCAGGGACAAGTCATTTTCATTCTACCCAGTACCCTGGGGAGTGCTTTTGTATGAGTACAGAAGCGATCTGCACTTTCTAGGTATTATATATAGGTCAACTAGTGGTCTCAGTTTCTTTCTTAACTCAATGAATGTAGAGCAACATACAATCGGCAGCCTCAGAAAACCTGCAAGGTCAGCACAACCATTTCACCTTCTGATGTAGTCCAGCGAGGACGCGTGATGCCCAGAGAACAGGGTGCGAGCGGCGGCAGAGCCCAGGCCAGAGCTCCGATTAGCACTCTGAGCGCTTACAATTTACACATCTCTATGAAGAGAATTCTCTCTATTCCATACCTGTTCCAACAAGGAAAAAGGTCACAATACCAATAGCAGTCAAATTTAGAGCGAGAAGAAGAAAGCTGATCTGACTTTGAAAGTCACGCTTCTTTCCCATCCATCCTCTTTGTATTGTTTTTAATTATAAAAATCCACAACTACTCGAGATTTGCAAAAGAGAAGATAGAGAGACAGATCTGATCACCTTACATGAAGGGCCTGTGAAATTGATGATCAAAATCCCTTAATACAACCTATAAAGACTGATGACACAATAATACTTAGGGGAGATGTGTTCAAAACATACAGTGAACGTTTACATTTTTTAGAAATTTATTATAGTAAGAGACATTGCTGTTACTCTTGCCCAAGATAGTTCCTTGCTACATGTCTTGCCACTTCTGAAGAAGGCCTAGGGGTGCTCCTCCCTGAGCGTCTCTAGCTGCACTCCCATGGCTGCTCAGATGCCCGAGCCGATGCAAACATTTAGTTTTCATGGTCATTTTGACTTGGAGAAAGAGCCCAAAGTCACACAGCGCCAGACCCAGTAAGCAGACAGATAAGCACACACCGTTGTTTTCATTTGCCAGAAACTGCCATAAATGTATGATCAATGTGTGGTCATCATAAAATACGGTGAATATTTAAATTAAAAAATTTATTATGGTACAGGATGCACTGCCATTAATCTCCCTAAAAATACTCCCTTCACTTCAAACATTCTTATCCTACTGTTCTTTGCAATGTGTCCTTTTATGTAATAATTTTTTTTAAATTAAATAATCATCATATCTTTTGATCATCCCTTATATGTTTTCATTTATTTATTTTTATTTTTTATATAATTTTATTGAAAAACAAATAGGATTGCGATAGTTTCAAACCAAATTGGTAGGACAGTTTCAATAATTAACACATTGCATACATTCTTCCTAGTGGTTAATTGCTGTACAAGATGCGGACATGATATCCTACTTACAAACACTATTAGATCGAATCCCTCTATTCATTAAGAGAATGTAACTATATATCTATCCTAACCATTTTGAATACACAGATACAAAATGGACATTCATCTGCATCCCCTTTTTTTGTTTAGTTCCGTTATTTGAATATTATAGGTATGTTAACTCAGCAAAATATTCTAAAAGAGTCCAGTAGTCCATAATAGTATTGGGTCTTCCGCTTCACTGGCAGTGTCAGAAATTGTTGACCTGAGTCCCCCACAGCTCAACATAACAGCATGGCTTTACTTCCTATATTTCGTCTTCATACTTTTCTGCTGGATGGTTAAGACCAAGGTAAAGCAGGACCTATGCAACAAGAGTTGTAGCTTTTGGGTCTGATAAGGTCAGTGAAATCCCCTCAAGATTTATCCTGAGATCCTGTACCTCAGATTGTAGATCCTTTGTCAGTGTTAGCCACGTGGATGAGTCACAGCCATTGCTTGGCCAATGTGCTTTCTGTGAAAACCTGAGAGAATGTTTTCTCTCCATGTGACTCTCCTTAGGCACACTCTATATCATTGATCACTTTCCTCTTTGGTCCCATAATCTCCTTGATCAGAAAATTTGGGACACTACCAAGTTACATGACATTACAGTACAAGTTCTCATATGTCCTGAGTCTTAACTGACCTCATCCCTTATATGTTAATATTAAGACCTCGGATATTCTTGAATAAACAGTACAACTTAAAATATAATGGATCAATTTCTTCTGCATGTCTTTTGTGTGAAATGTCATAAAGGAAATGCACAAAAGAAACCTCCTTATATAATATATAAATACATACAAGGAGGGCATAACATAGAATCTCAGAAAAAAATCCATGTATACAGAAATATTTTAAACCACTTATAGGTTCACTTCACCAAAGACATAGTCTCCCTTGTGGTTATGTTAACACAGAGAAATGTAACCACTGAATTGCAGTAATGAATCATATAGTTATCTTTTGAAAAATTAATCTTTTCTGTACAGAATGGAAGTTAAGGCAAAAGGATTCATAAGTCAAACTAAAAGATGCACATGGGAAAATTATAGCATTAAAATTCTTAACTTTACAATTTTCTAATTTGAATAAAACATTTCACAATAACATAAAACCCCAAACTAGTTTAGCTAGGCAAGTTTCAGTCCACCTGGATAACTTAGGGATCCTGCAAGAATCTGTTAAAAAGCACTGGGGGGCCGAAAAGATGGGTCAGTAGAATAAGAGCGTCCCTGGCAAGCGCAAGGGCCTGAGTTCAATCCCTGGTTATACACACACACACACACACACACACACACACACCACAGAGAGAGAGAGCACTGGGGATACAACTCAGTGGGAAGGCCCTGGGT